CAGCGCCTGGGATAGAGTGATTAAGAACCTTTTAATTACCCTTTGTTCTGAAAATCTAACTGGATTTTGCGGGTCACATGAGAAACATGAATGCTAAATTTGAAGACAATACCTATTTTTCTCCTTGGAAGTTCTATTCCAACATACACCTTAGACATGTTTGCCAAGACTAAAAGCCCTAGATATTTTCCCTTGTAATAATTTGTGAAAATACATAAACGTAGGAGGACCCCAATCTTTTTGGTCCCTAAAATTTAACCATTTAATGCATGTGTGCCAAGTCACTGACTAATTTTTCCTTGTTGATATAATACCTTCATGTACCATGTTTTGTGCTGGTGGAGATAATGACAAAGTCAGTTGGAAAACCGGCACTGAGGAATGAGGAATCAACCCACCCTTTTGCCAGTACTCAAGACTTAATTGAGGAAGAACTGTGGCTGGCCGAGTACATGTTCAACTGAGGTTGATACTAAATACAATGATTCCAAATCCTAACACAAGCTCTGTCATTTAGTACCAAATATGGAATAGGATTTCCATGTCTAAAATGCACTATGTCAAAAACTAGGGTTAATACGATAGCTTTAATAATACATTTATTACTCTCAAGGTACCTGTTTTGTTTCATGTTCAATGGAAGTAGATGCTGTTCTTAGAATGTGCAGATTCTCTGACGTAAACTCTGTAACGGATGACTTGACTCCATCAATGTATCTGAAAACAAAGTTCACCATATACATGTAGTTAGTAAGTTAGTTACACTCGCACTCAATCATGTCTATATGTCAGGTATTTACCTTTTTAATTTGCTTTACTGTCTACGCTATACTGATTTCAGACACCCTAACAAGCAGCATTGCCAGCTGAGCTATAGACTTGGTAAACTGTAAAATATGTTATTTTCGCTTGGAATAAATTCTTGCTAATTTCGTATATTTTGTATATTTCACATTCAACTCATCAAAAATCAGTGAAAATGAATTCCATACAAAACACCCAAACAGTATTTTACACATTTTACGCAAAACGGTATCAGTGCATAAATTCTATTGGATAACTTTGCCACACAGCAATTTATACAATTAAATAAATTGAAAAGGAATCTCTTCTTCTATTGATAATCAACATGTCCTCAGACAGAAGAACCCCTATACAGGAATGAGAATTTTAATTTTCAGCTGAAAGTAAAGTAGCCGGAGTCCGCTGGCATCGTTAACGACTTTCGAGTTTACGTCCAAGCCATTGGTTCCGCTGGGCGACAGGGTAGCTCACTCAGAGCAAACCCAGCCAATCATGTTAATCGTTGCATATTACTTCGAACACTTGGAAACCACTTCGGATTTTATGATTGTACTAAAAAGAGTCGCGAACATGCCGCATTGGAGACACGGCGAGTTGTCTCCCCTTCAACCATACACTGATACAGACTTCTTGCAGCCGACAACAATGACCCGACAGCGCGTTTACTTCCGATAAATAAACAAGATTTGTATTCTTACCCCCCCCCCACTATAATTTTCTCCTGGATTTAGATGTTTCAGAAAATCGACCCCTGCCTATAAAATAAATTAGGAGTTGAAAGAATTTAACAGTAGCTAACACTTCATAAGTGACGGGAGATGTAAAGACTGATGGAAGGACAATCTGTAAGATATAGATGTAGTAAAACACTATTACTTGCAAGTACTTACCCTTGAGTAGTTTGTCCCATGTTTTGCACAGAATCATACACACATTGCAATCCTTCAATATTCTACAAGGAAATAGAAAACAATATTTAAACTATAAATAATAAATAAACAGTCTGCTTTTATCTAGATATTTTGGCTATAAACCTAAGGAGATGCATAATATATGTACTATGATTGACATTCAGCACTTAAGTAGAAAATTAACACCTTAAGCATGGCCCTTAAAGAAGAGTGTTTTTTAACTTTAATGTATTTATGGGAAAAAATAATTCAGAAATAGTGAATTTTTCCCTTAACCTTTTCACCACCAGTTTGTTCTTTTTAATTACAAATACACAAAATAGTCTTGTTAATGCTTCAATAAATGACACAAGACACAAGGTTTTGGCAAAAGTGGAAGGGGGAGCGAATTGTGGAAGGGGAAGCGAATTGCTGACGCAGGCGTCGCAGTGAACAGCTCCATGATGCGACTCGCCTGTGAATTGCATCATGACACTGAGCGCGTGGTACCTGCATGCAACCTTCCACCAGCAGAGACTGTACAGGCGGGCGTCATGGCTGGCGTCCCCCTGGCGGGAGCCTGCAGATAGACTCACAACCCGAGGGGGATGGACAGCGTGGGTACTCATGTAAAGTCTGCTTGGTCTGTGGTGGAAACCCCCAAATTTAAAGGTAGGGTGATGCATTGCAGGAGATGGGGCTTTACACGAAGTGTAAAAAAAACTGATAATTT